ATCCTGTGTTCAATACAGTTCAGCCTGTGGAAACAATTGTATTCAGGTTAATTTTCCCAGCATAAGGCAGGCATCAGTTGGCAATTTCAGGCTTGCTTTGAAGATTCTCCTCGGGACTGTACTTTGTTGTGTTGGAGTCGTTTTGCAGAAACTAAATCCAACTTTATAGAATAAGAAAAGGACACCTCTTCTTCGATATACAGACTTTCAAAAGAGTCAGGCCTGATTTTAAAATTTAAAGTTTGGCAGCTTACAAGGGCATCTGTTGGAAACCAGGAACCATGCACATGGGTACCAACTGTGAATAGGCATGGATTAAAATATTTGAAAAGTGAAGCAAAAAGGAAAGCTGCTTCTCTGCTCCTGAGTACCTTTCCAGAACTGTTCATCTCTCACAGTGTTCATCTAGCTCATAAAACTGGTTTCTGTTACCAACATGCTAATTAACAAAGCAGCAGCGGACATGAACTGGCTCTAACTGAAGTGTTTTTCCAGCTTCTTGAAAGCCTCGTCCTATCAGTTTTTTTTGTCCTACTTAACGGGCTGCATAAAACAGCGGTGGAACCAGGAGCCAGGGTTAGAGGAAATTTAAGGGAGAGAGGGGGAAGCCCTAAGTTGTCTTACTGCTGCCTGCAATTGTTTTCCCTCTGAATTGATGGAAAATCTGAGTACTTGATTTGCAGCCCTATTGTACACCAAACCATGATGTCCTGCTCTGAATCTGGTGGAAAACACAGCCCAGTCAGTTAGTGCCTCTGCTGTGACCGCATGCCTTTGTGTTTGTTACTTTTGATGTACTTAGCACATTAAAATCATGATTCTCGCAGGGTTTTTTTAGATGGCCAGCTATTTCCTTCTTTTCTTTACAAACCTGTAGTCCTTACAGTAAGAACAGCATAGGACTGTATTTGCTTACAGTGCCAGATAGTAGGATGGTCGTGGGTTTGATCCTCAGTTGAACTAGATGTTTTCTTGAGGTCCCTTCTAGCCTTACTTCTCTATGAGAAATATGCTTTGCTGACATGGTATGTATGAAGGAGACTGAAAATCCTATTCTTGTATGGACACCAGAAATGTTGGGATTTTCAAAAGAAACGAAAAGACAGCTCAGCATTGACCTAATTTTGCTCCTAGTGAAACCTATTAAGAGTTTTCCCATTGACTTCAGGGGCCATCATCAGGCACTTTTGAAAATCTCCCTCTACCCTTACAATATCAGTTATGGGGATTGTAAGTTCAGTAGAGGCAGTCACTCACACAATTTCACATGTGCCTAAGTTACGGGGCATAAGACACCGGATACTCTTATCAATTGTGTGTATTATGAGATATTATGATAATGCCTAAGGTGCACTAAGATACAGCTCCACTGCGCTAACCACTGTAGAAACAGAGTAGACGATGATCTTACCTCCGAAGAGCTGGTGCTCTAAAGAGACAAGCTGGGCACAGGATGAAGCAAAGGGGCTTGGCTGGCACCCAAAGAGAGTGAACCATGTGATGACACTGTGTTCGTTCCTCAATTATTTCTTTATTGTAGCAGCAGGGTAGTTAGCAGGGGATACACTCAATGGGAAGTAGAGGGAAGGGAAATGGGACATTGAAAAGAAGGAGCAAGGATCAGGGAACAAGCGGGTAGGAGGAATGAAGCTGAATTGAAAATACTGTAAGGGAAGGGTAGAGAATTGCAGCAAATCAATTGGCATGGGGCAGAGAAAGTCCAGTCAAGCTATAGCCAGTTCTCTTGACCTCTGAAAGTCCCCCCTATAGTGTCTCCTGCCTGCTGTGTGCACATCAGATGCATGCAGCTGAGCGTGGGCGTAGTTTTCCATGTGCACAGGTAACCGTCTTGCACACATTTGTCAGATATTTGGTTTTTGTGTTAGGAACATGAAGTGCTCACACAAATGCACATCCTTCATTAAAAAGTCTGGTACTAAAGGAGGCTTCAGCAAAAGTTAATTTGAGAAATATCCCTGATATTTCTCAAGGCATTGCCAGACTTCTCTTCACCACCCAGTCTGATTGTAGTTCAGGGCATCGTGGTGGGACCTAATGATGCAGTGCTTGACTAAAGACTGTCAGTGTTTAAAGCTTGGTTTTCCCTCTTTAAGCTTATTTGGCACTTGGTTTTTTTTATATGAACGGACTGCTGGTAGTGTGTACGGATGTCAGTACCAGTCTCTTTGCACCTGTTCCCCAAGTTTGTCCATGAATGCATTGATACAGTATGCACGTGTGTAGTACCTTTTGTGCAAGGTTCACAAAATGCTTTATACAAATTAAGGTTCTCCTCTATCGTTCCTGACAAAGGGTTTTTAAACCCAAAAGCTTACTAAAACTTTTTTTCCAACTATTTAAGTTGGCCTAATAAAAGATACCAGATTCACCCAAAGAACCTTGTCTGCCTCTATCAGTCCTGCTTTTCCAAGAGGGAAAGCCTGAGTCTGCACTGCCTCCACAGACATCACCGCCACCTGTGCAAACTGAGCATGCTAGCAAACCAGAGCAGTTTTCTATTTTACAATGCACAGATGCAGATGGCTACACCCAGTGAAGGGCAGTGGAGAACAAAACCCAGGGATGTTAATAACATGCCTACAGTTCTATGCCAAATTGACCGCAGCTGTGATAGACTGCAAAAAGATCGGACTTGGAGTCTCCTTCTCTAATCCCTAGGCACCATTGCCTTGCAGCCCATTCTTATTTTTCCTGATTTTGTAGTTATCCGCCCTAATACCTTCTCTAGTTTTCCTCAAGACAGATCCTGACTTTCCAGTCGTGGTTAAGTCAGCTCGGGTTTAAAAGCAACTGTGGGCGAAACTGGGCAAGTATGAGACAGCAGACATGCTTGAGGCAGACAGCAAAGTTTGTGTGTGCGCGTCGTCCTTACAGCTCTGTAACTGTTTTGAACAAGTTTTTTTTTTTCTGTTCCAACATGCAGAAATACCCAACATTGTACTTAATACAGCAGCATCATTTTACAAAATTTTAGGCCTTTACAAAATTTAGCATTACAACTGGAAGAGAGAGACAAACACTTTTTTCCCTGATTTTACTCTAGCTTTTTTCATCTTCAACTCTGTCTGTGGGATTTCTATCAGGGTAGGGAGATTTGGCAGTGTGATGAGACTTCACCGATGATTGGATCTTCACTGTTAACACAGCACTCTGGAAGGTCTGCATTTTTGGAAAAACAACCTAACTTGGGTGTTTCTAGTTTGGAAACCCTAGACAGGACATCTTGAGCCTGATTTTCAGAGATGTGAAGCTCCCACAACTCAATTGCTATGAAATTTATATCCAACAGGTCGGGATGTGAGTCTAAGCTATTGAATCTGTGTTCCAGTATATGCTGTTCTCCGTGAATGGGTGCCCAGGGACTGGTTTGCCCTCTGGGTAGTCCAGAAATTGGCCCCTCCAGATTCCTTTTCTAACTCCAGGACATACCAGCCTCTTTCCCTAGTGTTCCCCTTTTCTTTTTGCTGCACTACTGCTCTCTTGGCCAGCAACTGCAGACAGACAGAAGGCATGGTAGATATGCACCTTACTGACTAACTGAATCAGACATGCATAAACTTATGAGCAGTGGTTCACTTCATCAGATGCTAGCTGCATCTTTTAGCAGCCGAAGTGTTGGGACACCCATCAGGATCTCTGTCTGACATTATGCTTATTGCAAAGGAAGACCCTGTGAAGGCAACTTCTGCCTAACATTTAGCAGAGTCAGTGGCAGAAAAACATCTCATATCACTATAGCAGTGGAAGACATTTGGGCTATTAGCTGTTCCTGATGAAGCTGAGCCTATTTATTTGTTTTATCCTTAGTCAGAAGCTTTGCCTGCCACTCCTTTCTTCCCAGTCAGATGGGGCAATGAGAGAGACCAACGTATTCATTACCTTCTTTGAAATAGTTTTGCCATATGTTCTTTAACTCTCTTTCAGAGGAATAGCTTTTTTTATTCCAGTAGAGGATTGGGTAGTTGAAATGGTCAGATACAAATTGTAGCTCATGCTACATTAATAGATATGTCCAAATTCACTCCCTCCAACATTTGAGAGTGCAAAGTATAGCTTGTGCTTCAAGCCTGTTATGTGGAGGGCCTGACGTAGGAGGGCTGGGGGTTCCCTACTAGAAAATAAAGGATCCAGCACCACATACTCAGTTGCTTGCTTTAGATTTGTCACTTCAGTCTGGGATGCACATGTTAAAATTTTGAAAGGCATTTTCAAAATTTTGTATGTGCACGTGTTTGTGTGACCCTTAGCAGGGCAAAAAATTAGGTATAATAATGTAGCGATACATTTGCTGGTATGCTCAGAAGTGCCAGCCCTGGCATAAAAAGGGTTTGTTAGATTAAGTCCTACTGCAGAATTTGAAAACTTCCTGTTGGTTTGGGCTGATCATGGTCACCCATCTAAATATTATAGCATTTTGTAGCAATTGTCCAAATTATGCCAGTTTACAGCAGTCTCACTGATTACCGGTACTTTGAACTTTTGCTGGACAACGCAGCAATGCGATATGTCCCTATAATAAGCCGTGGCTTTAACAACTCCAGCAGCAAGAACCAATTTCTCATTGTTGTGACGACAGATCGACTCCGTATTAGAGAGAGCACCGTCCTTTAATGAACTTTCCCCATCGTCCCACAGGGGGTTATGATGAGGTTGTTCTGTATTAATGAGTTCATCTTGGTAAGGAGACTGTCCTCCTGTGGTTTTTTTGAGCAAGATCAGGGACCTGCAGTGATTCTTAACACATCACTTGCAAAACCTGGACAGGGTGGAATTGGCACTCAGTGTTCAGCAGTCAGGAATGGCTGCTTTCATATGCCTACCTGTTGGAGTCAGTAAGCCAGTCCTTTGCAGCTGCTGTGAGCAGCAGTCCTAACTCCGCTGACTGGGCTGACCCTTGACAGCAGGTGTTCGGTACTGCTGTGTTGTAATACCCAGAGGCAAAAATTGTTGAAGCCTTCCTCCTGTTTTGTATTTTTCAGTCTAACAAAGTTCCTGTGGTGCAGCCGTCCCACGGCGTCCATCCGCTCACCCCACTCATTCCATACAGCAACGAGCATTTCAGCCACGGCTCCCACTCGCCACACTTGCCAGCTGATATCAACCAGAAACAAGGTAACTGCTGTTTTTTCTAAGCATGTGGGAGGCGGTGGGAATCATCGTGGCAATTTAAAAGGGGGTTGATGCCAGAAGCCCTTTAAATGAGAGTTGCCATCTAGCCAAGGTTTCTCTGGCACTGCCAGTTCCTTTAACCTTTGCCTTGTGAGAAGAAAAATAAAAGAACGTCATGTTCACTACACTCAAGCAGACGGGGACATTGGCTACAGGGGGGCTAGCTCCTTGGGATACTTTATAGTCACGGCTAATGGCATCCTGAACATCAAAGAGTGTCTGTCCTAATCATCAAAGTTTAACTTTCTCTGTAATAACACTCCTTGTAGCCTGAGAACAGAGCTTGGGGATGATATACAAGAGCTAACCAGAAAATGGAAAGTAACCTTTCCTTTGACTCATACCCAAACTGTTGTAAGGTTGTCATTATGAGAAAATAAATGTTTGAAACAGGAAATATTTTGACTAAATAATGATATCTAGCTGGATTTTTGTACATATATTTCAGCCTTTGGCCACATATATGTGGTTGTCACACAGTTTGACTCTGGGTTTCTACGTTAATTCAGTACACATCAGTCCTCTCACAAAAGCAATGGAGGAAAGTACAATAAGGAGAGATTAGAGCTCATACCAAAACAAAAAAAAAAAGAATTCATACATCTAATTGATTGTACTTCACTATTTTTGGTTGGGGGCTGAAAATAAACATTTGTTTAAATGCATCGGTGCAAGAGGTTCAAACCTCCTCGAGTTCATCCAGAGCTTTGAACTAAGCCTGAGTCCAGTTTCAAATAAATCTAGGTTGATTCCTGGTTTGGGGAACGTAAACTGTGCCTGGGATCTTGACTTCCTTTGAACCTGGAAGTTGGTGCAAAATGTGAGCTATTCGGCTGCATGCAAAGCCCAGCATATCAAAGCCACATGGTTACATGCTGGTCCAACTTTTATGTGACGCTGCCCTGCAGTGGTGACGAGCTTTGCCACATTAAGGGTTCTACCAGATGTGGCTTGAAGTGAATGAATTGGGGTTGATTTGTCATCAATTTGAACTCTAATGGCCATAGTCTGGCCTCATCAGTGAAACTTCAGTGACTGAGAAGGATTTACACTTTATAAGAGCCCCTCAAACAAACGTTTCTTCCATCCAGGCAATTCCTTGTCAGTTACTAGAGGATGAAAAACTCAATAAAAATATATGACAGGTTAGCAAATTAAAGCATATTTGAAGCTCAACTAATGGCA